GACCGTGTGATAATAGAGTCAGGGCCAAATCCATAGTTTCCATTTGGGGTTTCTTTCTCTTTATGAATTGAACATTAGACAAAAATGATCCCATATTGAAAATTGCACTTCTGCCAAGGTTGGTAAGCAGTACCCTCAGTGAAAGCCTTGGCCGACCTTGTTTCCAGTCACTGGATGGTCCTTTCAGGATAAACTTGAAAACACCAGGACTGATTCAGTCGTGTCTGTCAGTCCTGTCAGCAGAGAGAAATGGCAGCAGCTGTGGCCACATAGTTAATAACTGGGATCCCAAACACTCATCAGAGAATCTGTAGAGATCCTGGACTTGGCTTTGGGGGTTTTCATTCCAAAATCTTACAGAGCATCATAGGCAGCTTTGTCTTCTCAGAAGGGAGACCTTTGTGTTTGGCAAAAATTTTTTTTAATTTTTATTTTATTTTTTTTTTTTGCGGTACACGGGCCTCTCACCGCTGCGGCCTCTCCCGTTGCAGAGCACAGGCTCTGGACGCGCAGGCCCAGCGGCCATGGCTCACGGGCCCAGCCGCCCCACGGCATGTGGGATCTTCCCGGACCGGGGCACGAACCCGCATCCCCTGCATTGGCAGGTGGACTCCCAACCACCACGCCACCAGGGAAGCCCCAAAATTTTTATCTAGTAACATTTTCCCCCTACATTTGTTATCTTTGGTTATGTCATTTTATCTTTTAGTGGGACATGTGCTCCAGGAAATATTCTTTGTTTATTTAATTATTTAGCATCAACCTAAAAGTTTCTTTTCTTTTTTTTTTTTGCGGTACGCGGGCCTCTCACTGTTGTGGCCTCTCCCGTTGCGGAGTGCAGGCTCAGCGGCCATGGCTCACGGGCCCAGCTGCTCCGCGGCATGTGAGATCTTCCCGGACCGGGGTACTAACCTGCGTCCCCTGCATCGGCAGGTGGACTCTCAACCACTGCGCCACCAGGGAAGCCCCCAAAAGTTTCTTTCTTGGTCAGCTCTATCAATTTAACATCTTCAGGGTCCTTCTGGTTAAACGTTCCCCTCTCGTGAGCACAGAACAGAGGCCCCATCCCTTAGATGCTGTTCGTGGACAGGCTGACATGGCTGAGAGTGTGCTTTGGGAGAAAGCAGGGGGCTCTGCTGTGGGCACATTGGTGGCACAAGCAGACCAGTGGTGGGGCCTTGGGAGAGGGCCTTTCTGCCAGTGCCCTCATCGTTTAAAAGTTTATAAAACTAAGATTAGTGCTGGTTGGAGTTTGTTTAGTTTTGGACAGAAGGAACTAATTTTTCAACAGTTTGATTGATGCTCATGGCCTTTTTTTTTTGTTTTTTTAAGACACCCATAAAGAAACCAGGGGATGGAAGAAAAGTAACGTTTTTTGAACCTGGCTCTGGGGATGAAAATGGGACTAGTAAGTGTGAAGTTAATATTGTCTTGATCTGACTGTGATTCTGGGCTTTGCATGGTTCCTGGTAATAGCAGGAACCTAGGTAATGAGTTAGTGGTCAGTGCTTGGTTCTGCATTACCCCTGTGCTGTTGTGTGTGCTGGGGCGCGGGGGGGGGGCAGCGTGGGGTCTTACAGCATCTCTCCACGCGGCATGCATGGACTTGAGTTGATCTGTCTGCTTGTCCATCCCCAGGCCATAAAGAGGATGAGTTCAGGATGCCTTATCTTAGTCACCAGCAGCTGCCTGCTGGAATTCTTCCCATGGTGCCCGAGGTTGCCCAGGCCGTAGGAGTCAGTCAAGGGCATCATACCAGAGAGTTCACCAGGGTAGCTCCGAACCCTGCCAAGGCCACGGTAACTGCCATGATAGCCCGTGAATTGTTGTATGGGGGCACCTCGCCTACAGCCGAGACCATTTTAAAGAATAACATCTCTTCAGGCCACGTACCCCATGGACCTCTCACGAGACCCTCAGAGCAGTTGGACTATCTTTCCAGAGTCCAGGGATTCCAGGTAACTGTTGGGTCTGAGCTGTGTGGTCTGTACCTCAGTGCGGTCATCTCTGGTTTCTCTCAGTACTAAGTAACTTGTTTTTTAAGTCAAGTTCTTTGTCTCGGGGGATGGTTGGGGGAAGCATGGTAAAGAGTGGTCCTGAGGAAGGGAGGAGGCACGGGAAGTATTAGAACCCTGGATGGTAAGAGAATATCCTCAACCTTTGGTAATTTTTAAAAATCCAGGCCAACCGTAATGAAAAAGCCTCAAATCCAGTGGTAGTTACAAATTTAGACTTCAGTGAGAACAGATTCATTGTGCTGGCCCTTTTTCTACCTGCTAGGAAAGGACATGGCTTCTTCCAGACCAGGGTTTCTGAGTAGACATTTAGGTTCCTGGAAGATTCTGGAAGCTGGGGCCCTGGCATCCTGCCTGCAGCCCTCAGTGCCCCTTAGCCGCAGACCCCACTGTGAGTCTCTTGTGCCTGTTGAGCAGGAGTTGGTGTAGACAAGTCAGGCTGAGACCAGGGAGAGGTGTCATCTCTGTTCACTGGGCCCAGAGCCGCAGCCCTGTGCCGGGCTCATACTCCCTGCCTTCCTGTCCTTGCCTCAGTTTTCTTTTCCCCTTTAGGTTGAATACAAAGACTTCCCCAAAAACAACAAGAACGAATTCGTATCTCTTATCAATTGCTCCTCTCAGCCGCCCCTGATCAGCCATGGTATCGGAAAGGATGTGGAGTCCTGCCACGATATGGTACGTTACCCCCCGCGGTGGGCCTGGCTCCAGCTCGTTGCTGGCCTCAGAAAGACAGGAAAAGGATTCTCCTGCAGACTTCGAGAACAGTTGATTGTTTTACAGGGTTCATATTTCTGAGGACTTTTCTTAGGTTACTGGCTTGATTTCTCATTCTGTTGATCAGAACTCATGGGCTTTGGCCAACCCCTCTCCTCTCTTCCCTTGCTGACCTGAGAGGTGGACTTGGGTCCTGGAACGCATCCAGATACTGTATTCAGTTCATCTCTGACCAGAACAAGGAATTGCATGCCCCAGTTCTGGCGACTTAGAAAGCCCCTTGTTTTGGTGTCCTGTTCAGATGAAATTGTTATTGTAAGAAATACTAAAATGAAGAAAAGGAATTGATTAAATCAATTGACATAAACTGTGGTATATTCACCTGATGTAATATAATGTACCCACCATATTAATGTCACTGAGGGTAATGTATTCTAATTCTAACACGGAAACATGATACGGTTTTATTTTAAAGCGGGATATAAAATTTGTAGGGTCTGGTGACCACAGGTTAAAAATGTTAGAAGGCAATATATAATAAAATTAACAGAGGTTGTGATTCAGTGAGGTAACCATGGATAACATTTTTTAATTTATATTTTTAATTAAAAATTCAAACATGAAAGGGTTATTTAGTGGGACCACTTGTTTTGTTGGGCAGTAGGAGAAGCCCTCGACTCGCTATTCAGTGTTGTATACTGTGGTCCTGAGCGGTGGCCATGGTTTGACTTCCCTTTTCATTCCTGCTAGGCTGCACTGAACATTTTAAAGTTGCTGTCTGAGTTGGACCAACAAAATACAGAGATGCCAAGAACAGGAAATGGACCAATGTCTGTGTGAGTGAGCTGATCTACGTGGAAAGGCAGTTCTGTTCCCCATTTGCATTAAATTCAAATTGTCTGCTCAAGTTAGTAGTGAAATACTTGTCTTAGTCACTTTCTGTCCCTTTGCCCTGAAAGGTTTCCAAGTTTTGGGCAGGGAGCTCTACTTCTTTTTAATTTGTTTTGTTTTTTTAATTAATTAATTTATTTATTTTTGGCTGTGTTGGGTCTTCGTTTCTGTGCGAGGGCTTTCTCTAGTTGCAGCGAGTGGGGGCCACTCTTCATCGCGGTGCACAGGCCTCTCAGTGTTGCGGCCTCTCTTGTTGCAGAGCACAGGCTCCAGACACGCAGGCTCAGTAGTTGTAGCTCGCGGGCCTAGCTGCTCCGTGGCATGTGGGATCTTCCCAGACTGGGGCTCGAACCCGTGTCCCTTGGGTTGGCAGGCAGATTCTCAACCACTGCGCCACCAGGGAAGCCCTTTTTTTTTTTTTTTAAGCTTTCAATCGGTAATACATTCACATGGTGCAAAAGTCAAAATTATTTTAAAAGGTGTCCACAGTGATACGTCTTGCCCCTCATGCAGTCCTCATCCATACCATTCTCTTCACCCCACCCAGAGATCACATTTGTATTGGTTTCTTGTGTACCTTTCCTGTATGTTTCTTTATGCAGATACATTTATTTCCTTATTTTCTTCCTTTTCCTCCTATAGATAACATACTACATGCCCATTCTGTTCTTTGCTGTTTTCACTTGATGGTGTATTCTGGGAAGACCTTAATCCAGTTATCATAAACTGGGGCCTGAACTACTGGACTTCTCGATGTCTGCTAGTTTCATTTGTAACATGGCTTAATTGTCTTAAATTTCAAAACTTGGGTCATTTTTGGTTTTTTTCTTCCTTAAAGGTGTGGGAGGTGCTGAACCTTATCTGGCCATGAACCATTGAAAAATCCCAACATACATACTGAAAATACTGAAACTGCTTTGAAAATTTGGAACTTCTGATACCTCCAGTGGGCCGAGAGACACGACGGGTAAAGGACTGGAGACAGCAGTGGTGAAGAAGGCGGGCCCGAGGAGGCAGCGGCGTGGCCGCTCGCCCGTGCTGTGGTTTCTCCTCACGCAGCGGCAGCTGCTGGGGGCCGGGCGGGCCTGCCGGGCACCCCGGCGCCACTGGGAGACCAGCGGGTCCACGCCCCAGGCACCCTAGCGCTTGGTTAGGGTGGGGGGGGGGTTGGTTTTTGGTTTTGGTTTTTCGGGGTGGTTTTTTTTTTTTTTCCTTGCTGTGTGAAAGAAGAAACAGAAAGCACGACTCCTTCTCAAACTGGCTCACTCAGACACTTTGGGACAAACCCTGGACACCACGCTGGAGAGAGGCCTTAGTCTGGCCCCAGAGCTGAAAGCACCAGAGAAAATCACATGCTTCCTACTCAGCCTGAGCTGACCTTCTCGGCGTGCTCTGGCCCACACCTACCGCGGTACCCACGCCGTCACCACTGCTCTCTTCCAAGAGATACGTATTCTTAGTTTCATTATTTTCTTTTGATTGAAATGACACTATATAAAATTTTCATTTGAGAGTTTCTCAGTTGTATTTAGTTACATAGCACAGTTTAGAAACTTGTCTGAGACTGACCTTATCAGTAATCTAACCGGCAAAGATCATATCCGTGTGTATGTGGTTATACATTTTTATTTCATTGGACTAACCCAGGACCATTTCAGTGATGAAAATGGTGTGCCCTCTGGTTTAGCTGAAACAGTCCTGCACTTCTCAGAAACCTTGAAGTCTCCCATAGTTGTATAAATTGGACAGTTTAGGAATTTTAAACTTTAAATGATCATTTGGTTCCTTTTCTATTTTATTTTTGTTAATGCAACAGGACTTAAATGAACTTTGATCTTTGTTTTAAAGATTAAAAAAATTGTGTGTGTATATATATATGTGTGTGTGTGTGTATATATATATATATATATATATATACACACACACACACATATATATATATGACTCTTGAAGACACATAGCTTTCACTACACTACAGGATATGATCTCCATGTAGCACATCCACAACTGCAGATTGATTTTCCTTGAGTGCTTTATACTGTTGATTACATCTCCATGTAGGGCTGAAAAGAATGACCCATGTTTATCTCTATAACTGTGTTGCTTTTGATGTCGTGTTGCTGTGCACAGAAATGTGTGCAGCGAGGTCCTGCATATGGTCCAGATGAAAAGCACGGTAGCCTTGCGAGTTAAGTACTGCTTCGATTCATTGTTTACGCTGGAATTTTTTCTCCCCATGGAATGTAAGTAAAACTTAGTGTTTGTCACCAATAAATAGTAATACTAAATTTTTTTTGTTAATTTATTCTTAAATGCCACTACTGCTAGGTTGGTCCCTCCCAACCTGCCCCCTATACTTTTTTTATTTTTAAGAAAAAAACTTTGTAATGCTTGTGATTCCATTTGGGCAAAATTCTGAAGCTCTGAAATAACTTTATATCAAACCATTGATCAATAAACAGCTACTAATGAATTTTTGGTCCTGTCGAGCAGTAACTGAAGCAGTAAGGGAAGATGTGAGGGCATGGAAGCATGGCGTGGGGGGCACTGCTGCCAGTGAGGGGCGAGTGGGTGCCCAGGTGAAGGGAGGCGCCTCTCATCTGAACCAGACGTTGTCACCCAAAGAAATGACCGAGAGGAGAGAGGCTTCCTGGTCACTTCCCTCAGGCGGGCTCGCGCTTGGAAGAGTGAAGGTGAGGCGTTGCATTCTAGTCTGGCTGAGGAGTGGGGCTGGTAGTTTTCTATTTTCTCATTTTAGAATATGCTCATAAAGGTGGTTCACTTTAAAACCAGCCTGTGGATTGGACTGCAAGAAGCACCGAAAGTGAGCAGGTTATGGAAAAAATGCTACAGGGTGTAAGGGGACTCAGCAGGGCAGGGATAAAAGCAGTGAAAGGAAAGGCATTTTTTCCCTTTCCAATCCTGGATTCAGCATTTCTGCAAGAAGCCTTGATCCTCTTTAGTGATAGATGACATTTAGAAACCAAGGTCTGGGTGCTCTGAGACCTCACTGCTAGGGGTGTGTTGTGTCTGGGCCCTCTTAGTGGACAGCTAGGAAGTGTATCTGTGTGTATGTATACACATCTGCCGATTTGTATATCTACTTAAAAGCCATGTGTTGGTCCTGATACCTCTGGCACCTCAGGGTTCTTCACAGCCTTCCCTGCTGTGTTTTTAGCACCTTTTCCAGCATCGAGATTGTAGCCAATGTCCCAGCCTTGCCAGCCACTCCCTCCACTCCTGCCCTGAGATCTTGCTACCTCTGCCCAGCTCTCGCCTCCTTGCCTCACAGTGTGTCTGTCCAACTGGCGACCCTCCACGCTGTGAAGGGAAGATGGAAAGGGCTGGACAGTACAGTCTTAGAAGTAATTCATGACTTCTAATTGGCAGTCCAGTTGGCCCTCATTGACAGCACTCCAAGAAGGGGAAGTTTCCTCTTTAATATCTGGGATATTGTTAGGAAGGATCTACAGGTTTCTTTGACAGGAGGTTTTTTTGAAGGTGATGTATTTTGGTTGCTTTGGAAAGCTGTCCAGATGGGATGTCCTTGACTATTCTTACATTGTAAACTCTCAAACTAGTCTTGCCTCTGTGAAGGCCCTGTAGCTGTCATCGCCTGCTGAGGACTCACTCACCTGCAGTATCCCTGTCTCAACAGGCTTTGAGAAAGCTGCCTGGGAATGGAGTTTGCACTAAGTTTTATCCCAACATGATCTCTTAAGAGTTGCAAGAACTTTGGCTCAAAACTAGCCCTTGGGACAACATGCAGTCCTGGTTTCCAGACTACAGGCAGAAAAACAGACATGAAGGCACCTGAGAGGCAGGTCTGGAAAAAATCAGAGCTGCGAGTCAGCCACAGTAAGACTAGTGGGTCTTAGGATTTGAGGAGCATCGATCTGCAAAGGTGGAGCAGCTCCTGTTGTCTTTGGGGAAGACAGACTTAGGATTCAGTCACCCCACAACAGGTGCACTGACATTAGGTCAATTTCGTTAAGTTCCTCTTATCACAGGGAGATATTAATGAGTAAGGATGATTTCCCCATAGCAGGGTTTTGTTCTGGTTTGTATTTTTAAAGGCCTTCTTGAGCCGAGCAATGTGAACTGTAGCTCTTTAAAAAAGTGTCATTTCTGAATCTAGGTTTTGTTCCATAGCTCACTGAGCTAATGTGCCCGGCTTTGCAGGGTGAATGCCCAGTGACGGAGACCTTGGCCTGGGTCCCAAGGTCTGTTAAGAGTCTGGGGTTCTTGTGACCCATGGGAAAAGACACCCAGCCATTCCCAAGAAGCAGTATGCTGCTGCTTGCTCTCTAGGAGCTAATAGGAGCTCAGCAGAATACAACCACCAGGAAATAAACCTGAGGATGGAGATGTGTAGCTGTTTGTTTGTATGAAACTTAACTTCAGAAACTTCCGACATTATTACCATCTCTGGTTTAAGTGCTTAAACATCTGTGTGCCCTTAAAAACAGACAAGAAAAACTTTCTAAATCCATAAATAATGGATTGTTGAGCACTTAAGCACTGCTGGATTGGCAGGGAGGAGTTAACCAATTTTCTGAAATAGGCTTTTAAAGAGATGTGTGTTAAGATGCAAGGCTAACTGAGACTGGAGAGGGTGTGGTTTCTAGCAGAGCTGTTTTCTTGGTATTTGGCACTGTGTGCTTGCAGTGGTGTGTTTAATGTATATATACAATGTGTATATAGAATATACATATGAAACTGTAATTTTTACAACTCCATATTCTAATCAGACTTCTTGGCATACCAATTTTTATTAGGAAAAATTATATGTAATTTGGGAAATTGGTACTGCTTTGCTTAATATGTGCTTAATAACTTGTTTGATATTTTAAAAGTAATTTCCTTTGTACATTCTTTTACAAATATTTTCATCAAAACCTACTTTGTTGGAAGTAGGCCTGTGATGACAAATTGTAAAGCAGTCTTTGTGTAGTGGTAATTTTAAAAAGGACCTCTGAAAGTAAACTGTGAAAAATTTGTAAGTTATCCCTAAAAGCCCTCTATCTATCCAAACACAAATCCTATCGTTTATTTCCACCCCCTTTCACACGCACTTCTTTCATGATTGTGTCTGCAGTGCACATGAAGTGGTGCCACCCATTATAAAGCTGAACAACCTGGAGCCCGGTGGTCCCAGAGAGGATCAGGTATGCCCGTCCCCTGCTGCCCTCCTACAGAGCCAGTTGGATCCAGCCTTCAGTTCACTGTGGCTGTCCTCACTTCTTTAGGCTGCAGTAGAAGCAGTGACAGGGGTGTCTCTCTCTGACCTTTGACATTGCTGAGCCTGGATTTAGTAGTGGGCAGTTGGTGCCACTTTGGAGTGAGATCTAACAGAATCCTGTGTCGCTTCCTCAGACTCTTCTTGCCTGCCTTTTTAATCGTGTGTTGGCTCCAGCTGCCAAAAGCCTGTCCCAGGAAATGGCCTGAGATTCCCTTGGGCCTGTGTTTTACTGTGTAAATATCGCCGCCTCCCCACAGGTCTGTATGCTGAGCATATGCTCACCTGGTAGATTCAGGACGCATATCTGAAAATGCTCCTCTGGACCCCTAATAGCTTACTTTCCTCTCTGATTGGCTCCTTGGGTTCATGGACAAGAACAATGTAAACCAGGTTGAATCCAGCTAAGAAAACTGCAAATGCTCAGACCTTCCCTAGCCCAGGGACCATGGTTTTTGGACATGTCGTATGGCTGTGTTTGGGGAGTTACGGCCTAGAGTGTTTGTTGGCAACCAGTGTGTCCTCTGAATCCCCAAAGCCTGAGCGGCCCCAGACCTGGCCCGACTCTTTCTGAGGTGGTTTGACCACCTTTGTCATTGCTCCCCTTGGCCAGGTAACATTTTCCCAAGGCCCCGAGCGAGGAGCAGCCTGGTGGACGGTGGATTGGGTGTGGAATAAGGCTTCCGTGCTGTGAAGAGCGCCTGTAAATAGATCACCTCACGAAGGGCCAAGATGCTGTAATGTAGGTGGGTGAATACCAACATGTAAGTAGCGGCTCAGAGACTGCAGTGCGGTCACTGCAGAAGTCAGTACCTTCTGTTGTTCTTAGAGCCCAGAGACAGACTCTGAAGCCGCTTGCTCCCAGGCAGTTTCTAGAGTCCCACTGCTCAGGGCGGCTGATGGAGAGGCATTGGCCCAATTCCTTGCTGGAGGCGTCTGGAGCCCTCCTCTCCCCCATTCTGTCCTCCTGTCCAGCTGGCAGGGCTCTCCTCCCTGGGCTGCAGACTGTAGTCCACTTCCAGGTCTCTCCCAAGAAAACGTGTGGAGACAGATGCCATGAGAACAGGAGTTCATGTCCGTCTCAGCCACGGCTGGAGGGAGTGGTTGAGTTCTGGAAGAGGCCCACGAAGGCTGTGGCTCCTCTGGGCCCTAAGCTGCCACAGCTGTCTTCCGCCTGCCACCCTTTGTTAACTTCCTATCGTTACAATATGATCCCTTCCGACTTCTGAGGCCATGAAACCTTGGACTCTAACAGCGTTCACAGCTTGTGCCGCGCCTCTGCGTGTCTTTCTGATGCGGTTTTTCTTGGCTTCTTCACCAGCTTGGGCGTGAGCATCAGCTCACTGGGAGGGCTGTTGGTTGAAAGGCTGCTGGGTCCCTTTCCCAGATGTGCTGATGCCGTAGGTCTGGGGTCGAGAATGTGCATTTCTAATAAAGTCCCAGGTGATGTAGATGTACTTTGAGAACAACTGTCCTCAAGCAGTAACACCCATGAAGTTGCTAGTGACGTTTTTTCTAATACAAAACATAAAATGATACATGCTCCTTTGGAGGGCACCCCCAAATCCTTCGAATCATGTTGAGAAACGCTGCCTTTGGCTAAACAGAGGGCAGGCAGCTTTGGCCTCACTGTTTTAGGCTCTGCACTGTGCTGTCCCAGCCCAGAGTCAGTCTGTCCTGGGGACTGAAGGCAGTGTCCTCAACAGCCTGTTAGGAGGATGGGGGTTTGGAATGCTCAACCTGCAGCCGCTGGCTTAGCTCGTTGCCGCCACCCTGGTTCTCCTTGGGAAGGTTTCTCTGCAGGCACCATCGCAGAGACTTCTTCCAGCCTGAGATCTACAGTCACGACGGAGGCAGCCCTCTGCGTGGGGCTGGCTCCAGCTCAACTTTGGCTCTCAGGAGTGGGACTGTACGGCCTGCCTAGGACACTAAGCCCTGCTCTGTCTGAGAGTGGCAGGACCTGGTGGGTGCTAGGTTCCTCCCCACTGCCCTGCGGACCCACGAGGAGACAGTTTAGGATCTGTCTTCGCAGCTGACGTCTGCTGAGAAATCCTCTCTAGACTCAGGAGGATTGACCCTTGACTGCTTGCCAAGGAGATGGACCATCTTTCCGACGTAAGGTAAACAAACCTCTCATTTTGCTTTCCGCTTCTCCTCCGGTCATCCTCCTTTTGCATCAGGTCTGAGAAACTTCCCCCTGACCTGTCTGCGGTGGCTCTTTCTTCCACGTTGTCAAGTTTTTCTCTCACGTCATCCACATTATAAGGGAGAAAGTTGACTTCTCCAACCACATGTGAGCTTTTGAAAAAGTCTTTATTACCTGTCATGCAGGAACCCCAGAGAAAGGTTGGTGGATGATGGTGGTTCTTCATAGTGTTTACCTCACAGTCACGCCCTTATTAACTGATTACCTGTTACTAACTTTTGCAAAGCCATGGTATAGTGGCCAAGTCCTGTGCTCCGGACGCCATGATGCCTGGGTCTGAATCCCAGTTCCACCCAGCTGTGCAAGCTGGTAAGTTCCTCCACCTCTCAGGAAAGAAGGATTTGGACCTGTCACGTTCTCAGACCGAAGACTCACATCTGGTTCCATGAAACACTGGAAGAGGGAGGCTCAGCTGGGAGTCCTAGCAATTAACCTAAAGAAGCTGCATGGCCCACGAGAGCCAGTGAGCTGTAAAAAGAACATCTCAGAGAAGAGTGGAAGCGTTCCCATGTAACACTCAGAATGAAGAAAGCTTATGAAAACCAGTCAGGATCCGAATGTATCACAAGATAAAATGGGGCATGGTTTGCTCTGAGCAACTGACAGAATATGAGGGCAAAGCCCAATCCATTTGACCTTGACTCTAAGAACATTCTCTTTTGATGGATGCAAGAGTCAAACCTTGAGAGGAAGAAATATAATCTCTACACGCTGCCCAGCTCCAGCTCTGAATACTATTCACACCATTGTAACAGCTCACATACTGTTTATCTGTTCTCACCTTTTAAAAGATACCTACAGATGAAGCACACAAAAGGACCACTGCACAGGATGAAAAGCCATCTGCTGTGACAGCGTGAAAATGAAGGCAGAGGTGGACGGTGGGAGACGTCCTGGTATCAGTACAGAGGACCCGACACGAGGGCCACAGTTGATGGGACTACAGTTAGGGTTATTATTAAAGATGAAGAGAACTGTAAAAGGTAGGCTGGAAGTAAGCGGTGTGAGCCAAGTTCTGATTTGTCATGGCGGGGAGTTATGAAGTCTTACAGTGGATGTATCAAGAAGATGAAGAATTAAGTGGTAAAGAATTAAGATTATAGGCAGTACTAGTTGAAAGGTGTTGCCTCTGGGAGGGCAGAGACTTGTTGCTCAGATACAAGCCCTATTTACTAATTAATTAGACTTTTACCACACGCAGCTAATAGTCTGACTGAATGCCACATTCATTATGCCCCACAAATAAATGAAATAACGAAGTAAGGCCCAGTGTGGGTAGGGGTGTGCTACAGAAATTGGCACAACCTGGCCCAGTAATTCCACCTTCAGGAAACAGACGTAGACAAATATTGGCATATTATTTATAAAATAAAAAATCTCTACATGTCCAACAGTGACTGTATAATTTGGTAGTGGTATATCCAAATGATAAACACGATACATAACCACTGAAAAATATTATTTGCCGGCTTCCCTGGTGGTGCAGTGGTTGGGAGTCCGCCTGCCGATGCAGGGGACACGGGCTTGTGCCCCGGTCCGGGAGGGTCCCACATGCTGCGGCGGCTGGGCCCGTGAGCCATGGCTGCTGAGCCTGTGTGTCCGGAGCCTGTGCTCCGCAATGGGAGAGGCCACAGTGAGAGGCCCACGTACAGCAAAAAAAAAATATATATATATATATATGTGTTTGCCAAGTAAGTGTTTTAAATGTTAAAAGGTTTTTAAGAGAGCATATAAAACTGTATTTACAGGGACTTCCCTGGTGGTCCAGTGGTAAAGAATCCACCTTCCGATGCTGGGGACTCGGGTTCGATCCCTGGTGGGGGAACTAAGGTCCGACATGCCCTGGGGCAACTAAGCCCGCACGCCACAACTACTGAGCTTGTGCGCCTCAACTAGAGAGCCAGCCTACCAAACTGCAGAGCCCGCGCACCACAACTAGAGAAGAGAAAACCTGCATGCCACAACTAAGACCCGACGCAGCCAAAAAAAATAAACGTTGTCTAGGCAGGAAAGAAGAAAATTAATCAAAATGCTTAAAGAAGGTAGGAGTATGGATAATTTTTTATTTTCAAATCTTTTCCTGTATTTTCCACAAGGAAAATACACATAAAAGAGGAGATAATGATCAAACAGCACGGAGAATCAGTGGATCCGACACAAGACTCTCATGAGGAACATTGCAATGACGTTTGCTCCGTGTCTAAAACTGTCCTGAGAGTGAGGGCCTTGCCTAGGCCAGGACTCCTCCAGAGTCTTCCCACCAAGTACTTTACGTTGTTTTATTCTTAAAACTATCGTGAAGTTAAGTAGTAGTACCCTCATTTTTCATAAGAGTAAATAAAAGCATAGCGGTCAAGGCATTTGTTCAAGGCCTCAGTCAGTGGCAGAGGTGGAATTCAAACCCAGGTTGGCCTGGTCCCAGAGTATGAGCCCAGCTCCTCCTGCACACGAAGCATTGGCGCCACCGTTGAGGAACAGTCACTAAGACTTTAGCCAAACACACCGCAGCAGCTTCAGCCTGCCATCTCTTAAAATCTTTACAGCCTCACTTTAGAACATTTTAAAAAACCATTAACAGAAATATTCATGAATTATGCTAGAGTAGAAGTGTAGAAGTGCCAGCCTTCCTGTTCAGAAACTATTTAAAAAGGTGCACTTGTTTGCAAAGAGAAACCATCTTCCGTTAAACTGTTTTAACTGAGGAAGGAAAAAATTCAGAACTTAAACTCAGAAGACTGATCAAGATGCTGAAACAAGGGTCCTCCAGAACAGTAACTATCCCTGCATTTACTTAACTGTTAACCAACGGCTTTAGCAAGCACAGAGCCAAATACGAGAGCTTGTCTGAGCGCCAAACGTAAACCATCACCAGTTCTGTTTGCCATTTCAGACTTTTCGCCTGTATTATGTTCACAGTTGAAAAATGGATCTCAGTGCTATCTCAACACCTGCCTGCCAGTGACCACTTTTAAGCCATGTAGTAATTATATGATTTAATACTTCCATTACTGGGTCAAAACAAAATTGGTGCAGTACACTAGATTAAGCTGGAAATCTCTCAAGCAACACAACAAAACCAACATGTGAAGAAAATAAAGCGTTCAAGTCAGGTGCCTGAGATTTGAAAAAAAACAAATCCACATAATCTGCACAGAATGAGATTCCAGTCTAACTGCACTAATTACACATAAAAACTGTGCCTCTCCAAGTGTCAACAGTCTGATTCTTTTTACCCCCTAAAGATAAAGGCCATGGAACCCCTGGGCCCAGTCCAGGGAGGAGCCAGACTGGCAGCCTTTGCCAAGATGGACTGACACCTGTAGGTTCCTCCTAGACCGCAGGTTCTAAGATGTCACCGTTGGAAAAGTTCCTTGTAACCTCTGATCTTCAGAGAAGAAAGACTGCAAAAAAGAGCAAACACCTGCACTGGTCTAAAGCAGTCCCAACAGCCTCGTGAAGCCGGGCAGAGCATTTCTTTTCCAATTCACAGAGGAAACCATCTACCTAAATAAAGTTCATGCTGCCGTCCAGGAACTGGTCTAGCTACAAAGTTCTAACAGATGAGCCCCAAGTCTGCAGTAATTGTTCCCTTTCCCTTGTAAAAAAGACTAAGTAACCTGAGTTTGAGTTATTAAGAAATTAGGATTTTATGAAGTCCAGGAGAGGAAAAATTAAACTCTTCATTATAAAAATATCAGCACCAAAAGCCTGGGCTTAAGATGTTCTTAGATACAGATTTTAGGGCTCTTTTTTTTTTTTTTTTTTTTATTGCTGATTACAGTTTAAAACTATGAAATGTGCATTTCTTGGCAAGTTACATAAGTGATTTCTTTGCTTACTGACATTTCCAATAAAAGCTTAAGGAAACGGACAAAAACACAAAGGACGAGAGAAATACGAACAGCCTCAAAACAAAAGGATTTAGTAACAGAAAAAAAATCTCCACAGTTAAGTGTCTGTCAAATTTTAGAATTTTCAAAACTGCAAATGCTCAACTCAATGTCATACACTAAGCTAGTAAAACTTGTCTTTGTAGCTGCAAACTGAAAAAGTCACCCACTTATATTTGTGATCACACAAACCACCTAATTTTCTCAAGGTTCAGCTTAAAGCAACATTTAATAGACAAGTTCAAAAGGAACACTTGCTTTGTTTTAACACAGCTGTGCTCAGACGTCTCCACGATGTCCTCAGAAACCATCCTGGACTAAAGCCAATTCAAAAATACAGTTCAAAGCAGCGTCACACTAGCCGCCTGAAGGTATCCCTGGAGATACTGGAGCGCTTCTGCGTTGAGGCTGGTGCTCACCATTGAGGGAACCTACACAAGATGGGAAGCACACGTACAGCTGCTAGAGATCCCAACGTACAGACACAACGCCCCCGCACTTGCCGCCCTTCTACGGGGGAGCTGCCACAGCTCTGAGAAGGGCAGTCCATCACCAGTAATTGTTTAAGGGATCCCCAAGTAACTCAACTGCTTTCATGCCTTCAAAAATGGGAAGATGAATGACAGAGTTCTTTGACAAGAAAGACACTTACCCTTCCTGGACAGGCAGTAGACAATTTGTGAAGTGACTGTGCCAGGTGAATTCTGGGGTTGTTCACCATTTGACCTACAGGATCATGCTCTTTTTTCCCAGCGAATGCCAACTGTGAGAAGGCAGTCTGGTATCCTGGTGTGTCTTCTATGTCAATAAAATGTTCTTCATCAGGAATAGTATTATCTTCAGGTAACTCAAACAGGCCAATCAGAGACTGTAATAAAGGAGTCCTGGATTGGAAGATGACAAAAAGACTGAAGTAACTACTCTGAAGACTTAAACAAGTCTTAAGTCTTAAACAGCTTCCTCAGAGACATAAGACTGTAGACTCGTAGTCTCCAGAGTAATAAGAGACCTTTGAAATTACGAATGAAATGGTGCTTATGCCTAACCAGAAACCATTCAGTTCTTTTGGCCATAGCACCCCAATGTCTCTTTCCCCAGAGCTGCCAAAGCTGGCTTGTGTGAGTGACCCAGGCCTGGCTCATTAGAAGGCCATATGGCATCAAGCCAGACCAAGGCAATCCAGTGCTTCTAAGTTAGAAGAAATAAGCTTCAAGTTGTCAGGTCACTTGACGGAAGGCTACTTGAGTGAAACCATAGTAAGGCAGAGGCAAAAGGTCAAGAAAAGCTAGGTCTGCCCATCGAGCTAGACATCAAGCACAAACACATAAACCTCCTTCTCTTGGCCTATTCAGTTTCTCCTCTTAAGGACTTAGGCCGGTTTAGTCGAGTGACTATCATAAAAGTCTTAGAGATCACCTAAACCACGGACTTTCACCAGGCTTTTCAAAGGGGTCCATGAATTCCCCTACAAAGAAAAGTTAATCAGGGGACTTCCCTGGAGGTCCAGTGGTTAAGACTGCACTTCCACTGCCAGGGGCATGGGTTTGATCCCTGGTCGGGGAAACTAGGATCTCACATGCTGTGCAGCGCGGCCAAAAAAAAAAAAAAGTTAATCAGGAAACAAAGATGTTTCTAGGTAGGCTCAGAAGAACCCACAAGTCATGTCTTGGATCTCATGGTTGCTAGGGGGGAGGCTGAGGTCAGAACCAAATTCTCTTGGCTCCCAAGAGAATAAGCTTGGTTAATTTTGTAGTCACAGGGGAAAGAAACTGTAATTTCCAAAACACTTTAGAATGGAGTACTTACCATAGCTTGGTATACTCTGTATCCATCATTGGGGGACATTCTGTTAGTAATTTGGTTATGCCAACCGCACAAATCTTTTTCTCTACATTTCCAGATACTTTCTGAATTTCAGGAATAATGATTTTTTCCAAAACCATTCCAAACATTCTATGAATCAATGCAAAATAAATTCATTCAGTATTTCATTATACCACTATAGTCTAATTTAACAGTGAGATGCTTACATTACTTATGCTCAGTGACTCCTTATGAATATAACAAAATACAAAATAAGGCTGTTAATTTTGGTCAGCTGAATGGGAGAGACCTAAAAATGACAGAACAAAAACACCAAACCTCTACTCTGTGACCAACTGCCGTCATCTTTTGTGAATACTACCTCAAGCCTCTGCTCAAGGAAAATCTTTATAGCCATTTTTTTGGTCTTGTATGTTTTTACAAACTACTCATGAAATCTGTGAAAAATTAGAAATCAGAAAACAGATAAGCAAGAAGAAAAAAAGAATTACCATCACCCCACCATCCAGCATTAACTAGTTTTAACATTTTTGGATTATAAGCTTCCCAACTTTCTATGCCTACATACCTTTAAGTATGTAAATGTTAATGGGCTGTATTTAAAAAAAATGATTTGGCCTATGAATGTTGTCACAAACATCCTAGAAGTAAAGTTTTTTATAATTCTAAATGCTGTAAAATTCTCAATTTTTACTCATTATTTTATGAAGAATTTATTTTATTAAATTCTTTCAAGTGGAAATAGTAGATATCAAAGAGCATGGACATTTTGATGCTCTAGGTAACAAGTGCATATTTTT